GTTTTTTAAGGACTTTTCTTCAAGGAATTCTTTAAAGATTCATACATTTTCATGTTATTATTCATTAAAGGACCTTTCTAAAGACTCCTTTTCAAAACTTCTACAGAGTTAGTCTAAAATATTAAAAATTTAATCAAAAACTACAAATATTTCACTAAGCTTAAGCTTAAAAAATGAATATGAATTTTAATACTTTAAAGGACTCTTAAATGGATATTTTTAACGACCCTTCTTAAAAATGTTTAAAAAATCTTTTTAATATATTCACATTTTTTAACCAAACCCATAAAAATATTTCACAAATTAAGTTACAAAATGACAATGAACATTAAAGGACTCTTAAAATGGCTCTTAAAAGGACTCTTTCAAATGACTTTAAAGGAGTCTTAAAAGGACCCTTCTTAAAAATCTTTAAAAAATGTTTCTAAAATATTAAAAGTTTCTAACAAAAACCATACAAATATTTACCATACATTACCATACATTATTAACCTTATAATGGTTCTTATTACTAAAAGGACTCTTCTTCAGGACTCCTTCTGGGCTCCTCTAAAACCCTCTTAAGAATTTGTCTGAAAAATCTAAAATTTTTAAATAAAAACTGAAATATTTCTCAAAATAAGTTTCAAAATCGAATCATAATTAAGCTTAAGGGTCCTTACTATATAAAGGACCCTTAAAGGACTATTCAAAGGACTTCTTCTACAAAACCTCCAAAAAACTAACCCAAAACTTAACATTTTCTATCCTTCAGATAGAAATTTTCAAAAATTAAAAGATTCCCTCTTGCATCCTTCAGATACTTTAAAAATACGTCCCAACTAACGGTATAAGAGCTAACGGTAACTAAAAGTAAAAAACCATAAGTAACGATTTTGATTATTAATATTTTAAAAGCTTAAATTTAAGAATTCCTTCAACAAAAATTAGCCCAAAAAAAAAAGAAGAAAAAAAAGGATCTTGAAGGTTACAGTATCCCTCCTCCTTCCACCTTCGCCGCCTTGCTCGCATTTCGGTTTCCTTCTTTTTTGGCAGCTTTTTGGTTCTTTTTTTTTTTTTTTTTTTTTTTTTATTCTTAGAAAGAAAAGAAAAGAAAAGAAAAAGAACACAACGCCGGTATAGAGAGCAGCTTTTGTGAGTTCGCAGTTCACTTCCTTTGCCGCTTCCTTCTTCCTTTTCATTTTCAGTTTTCAGAGCTTAAGCGCCGCCGTCGTCACCATCGCTACACCAACACAAACACACACACATCCATCCACACACACACACACACACACAGACAAACTTTACTGTTTGGATACCTCTGCCGTATCCCTGTTTTCTATGTGTGTGTGTTGGCTCGTTTTTTGGCAACGTTAGCTGCGACGCCGGCAGCGAGATGTGGCGAAAGAAAAGAGAGAGAGCGAGAGAGAGAGCCTGCCGCGTACTCACAAGGTCCTGGCTATCCATTCTCCATCTCCCTCTGGCCGATTGGGGGGGGACAGTGCCAGGTGAGGGAGGGGGGCCTCTTGTTTCTGAGCCACTTTTTTTGAGTGAGATTCTTCAGAGAAAACGAGAGTGCGGCGCTCTGCTCCAAACTTTGACTCGAAAATTAGATTTGGTCCCACAAGTAGGTGTCCTTGAGGCTCGCATTTAAAAATAGACAAATTCCGGGGATTCCGACAAAAAATTGGAGTTTTTTGTTTTATTTCAAATGTAGGGGGGGTTGCTGGGGGATGTTGGGGCTTGGTTTTTAAATAATATTTGGGGATATTTTGTGAGGGTTTTTAGTCATTTATACTAGTACTAGTAATTGGTTTCATATTTTATTCTAAAGATTTGTTATTTGAATAAAGTCTTAATTCGTTTTTCTTAATAACTTTATAGAAAGTATAATATAGTATTTAAAAAAAGGCAAAATTCTTATAAAGTTTTAAATATTTTAATAAGAAAGGAAAAGGATATAGTGTCCAAAATAGGCAAAATTCCTATAAAGTCTTAAATATTTCTATAAGAAAGGAAAGTTATTAAGAAAAGGAAATCGTTTTTCTTAATAACTTTATAAGAAATGGTAATATATGTACATAGTATCCAAAATAGGAAAAATTCTTATAAAGTCTAAAATATCTTTTATAAGATCTTTTATAAGAAAGTCTATAGAGAAAAGAAAGTATATTTATAAGAAAGTATAATATCTTTCATAAGAAAGGATAATATCTTTCATAAGAAATGATAATATCTTTCATAAGAAAGGATAATATATAATCCATAATATGGAAAATTCTAATGAAATTCAGGATAAATAGCATTGAAAGAAATAAACTTTTAAACTTATTTATCTAAAATAAAATACCTTTCTTTAAGCTTGAATAATTCTTGAATTTCCAATTAAAAATAAAACAAAGAAAATTCGAATTAAAAAGCATACTTAACTACCTTAATTCTATTCTTAAAAAAAACTTACAATAATAAATCTCAATAAATAGCCCAAAACGCAAATAAAAAATTAAATTCTTTTATATTACCCCCAAATCCAAGAAAAATGTAAAATATTTTCGAGATTGTGGAAGAAGAAAAGCCGGCGGGGGGGAGGAGGAGGAGGGAGGCAAGTTTCACCCAAAACTTGCTTTCTTGGGGGGCCGAGATTGTTGGGGAGCTTTTTGTCGATAACCCTGCTGAACTAGAATTACTAAACCACCATTTTTGATTCCATCTGTCTCATTGCTAGCTTTAATTTTTATCACCAAAAAAAAAAGAAAGCAACAACAACAACAACAAAGAAGACGAAAAAGCAACCGAAAAAAAAAAGTCACTCGACTCGACAAAGCTGCTCGTTCACTCACTTGCTCGTACACGTTCTCGCTCACCAAAAAATTTTCGGCAATTCCACAAACACACACACAGATACACTCATATACACACACACAGATACACACATGGTACTTTGTGTGTGTGTGTCGCTCTGCTTCTTAGTCGGGCGCGCGCTCTGTCTTTGTCTTTGGCTCAGCTTCTGCTTTCTGCCTTTGCTTTCCTCTCTCTTGCTGCCCGTTCCGTTGTCGCCTGCCTTGCTGCGGTGCGTATGTATCTGTGTGTGTTGTATCTGTGTATCTTCTACGCGCATAGGAATTTCGGCAGCCGAGGAAAAAAATGTGAAACTGTCGCGCTGCCGGCGTCGCTGCTGCGGCCGGCGCACCGCACCGCCGACGCTGGTTCCGCCGCTGCTGCTCCGGCGGCAGTTCAGTGTCTGAAAACGCTCCCAACTGTAAGCAACGTAGCCAAAAAAGTAGCGTCGCGATTCGCGGGCTGCTCCAACAAAATTTTGTACCAAAAAACCAAATCATATAAAAAAAAAACACAGAAAAAATACCATCATCAATCCAAAGAAAAAAAAAACACAAAAAAAAAATATCCAAACGCAAAAACAGCGAAAAAAAAATACAAGAAGCAGCAGCGGTGGCGGTAGCGGCGGCGGTGGCGGCGACGGTGGCAGCAGCCTTGAATCAATTTTTTTAGTGTTTTTTTTTTATATACATATATACATATATATATAATATATATAACTTTTTTTTTTTGTTTTTTTGTTGTTGGTGGCTCTCTCTCCGAAATCTGTAAATCAGAATCCGTTAGTTTCGCGCCACGGATAACGGATACGGATACGGATAACTATCATCCGCGGCAAAAAACTACAACAACAAAAACTTAAAGAGCCCCCAAAAAAATACTAAGAAGAAGAAGAAAAGATAGAGAGCGCGAAGAAGGGAGGGAGTGTGTGTCTGTGTGTGTATGAAGAGGGGGTGGTGGAGCCTGCTGCTAATAATTTTGCGTATTCTTGTCGTTGTTGTTGTTGTTGTTGTTACTGTTGGTGTTACTTTTTTTTTTTCGTGGCATATTTTTTGACTTTGACTTTAATTCTCGTATATGCCTTGGCTTTGGCTCTTTACCTATGGGAGTGAATGTGCCGAAGAGAGAGTGTATCTGTGTGTGTGTGTGATAGAGTGTTTGAGACTTAATGTTGTTCCCCCCCTCCTCCCACCAGAAACAGCACCCAACAACAACAAACAAAAGCGCAATTTGATGTTGTTTTTTTTTACCCAAATTTTTTTTAAATTTAAAATTAATAAATTAAAAGTGTTGACAAAAAAATTAAGTAAATCTAAATCTAAAAAAAAAATTCAAATCAAAACACAAAAACAACACCAAAACCAACAACGACATGAAGAAACAGGCAAATTTTTAAGGCACTTCTGACATCATCTGCAAAGCTTCAGTCTGCACTGCAAAAAAAACATACAGAAATTTTTTTGAAATTTAAAACTAGACTAAATTCTAAACATCAAAAAAGAACAAAAAAAAACAACAACAAGTAGAAGCAAAAAGTAAGCCAAAGACGAAAAGAAAACAAAACAAACGGCCCCGCCAGCCAGCAGCAGAAACTGAAATTTCCCCAATTTTGGACACATTTTTTTTTCTATTTTTTTTTTTTGGGCCATATGCGAAATGATGTTTTTTTTTTTCTCTCGCCCACAAAAAAATGCCAACAACAGCAGCACACACTCACTTACACACACACAGAGACAGTTATGGGCCCAAGATCAAAGTCAACAAAAGCTCGCTCCCCCTGTCTCTTGTTCGCTCGCGTTTCGGCCGCTCACGCATCGCCTCGCCCCTCGCCCCATCCGCATACATAAATCTCTTCTAACGCCGCCCCGTGTTCTCCGGGCAACAGCTGTTAATGTTAACCCTTGCGTGGGTGTGGGGAGATGCCGCATCACGGCTGCGCGATAGATTATATTTTCCTTAAAAAACAATCTTTTTTTTTTTTTTGCAGATAACTCTTTTTTGGCCCAATTGACACCAAAACTAAAAACAAAAAAATAAATAAATAAATAAAAACCTTAAAAAATAATATAAAACTTAAACCGAAACACCGAACCCCGCAGAGAATTGTAATTTTTTTTTCGAGAAACGCGTACAGAGACAAAAAAAAAACCGAAACAGTAAAAATTTTTCCTAAAAAATAAACAAAAAAAATTTAATAAAAAATAAGAATTGCAAAACGCGAACACATAAAGCCACTGACTAAGCAAAGTTTTCCGGTTCAGCAGAGTTCATGAAAAAGTTTTGGAGCAAGCATTATAGATATTCACCGATATAATTCATCAAAATATTATATATATATATATATATATATATATAAAAACGTGAAAATCCCTCAAGGACATGTTCCAATCGACAAAATTCTAAACTTCAAACAAACAACTAAAAAAAGGCATCATTCCAAATAATAAAATAAAATAAATAATTAAAATCCCAAAAGAGTTAAAGAGCTGGAAAATAAAAAATTAAAAATAAAAAAAAAAAAGTAGACAAAGCGATTAAGATCAGTTTCGAACCTTAAAGTTGAAAATTCTTAAAAAGTTGAAATTCAAAAGTGTTCCTAATCCGCAAATCCGAGAGAATTAAGAGAAAATATATAAAACAAAGAGAGAGAGATATTAAATTCAAAAAACAAAAACAAAAAAAAAGAGTAATCAAAAATGGCATCCGAACTGGATCAATTCGCCGATTTGGAACTATCGAAGGAGGATCGTGAACAGATTTTCGACCCGCCACTGGATCGACAGCAGTTGGAAGGTGCTGGCACCTCAAGGTATGTACTCTCTCTCTCTATATATACTATATATTTATTTTTAACTTATATAACTAGTATGTATATCCTATCTATCGTATTCTACCACCCCCGCCCCCTTTAGAAAGAAAGACAAAAATATCGATCTGGCAGGGCCTCCCCTTCATCCTCCTATTCATTGATCTGTTTTTTGATGTAAAAATAACTGTAGATTTTAATTCGTAGTTTGTTTGTGTGATGCTTTGTAGCTTTTTTTTAGTGCGCCACCAAACCCCCCCCTCCACCCATCCAACCCACTTGGAAATCTGATAGGACTCTTGGCACTTCAAAATGGCGCTCGAAATATTAGGGTTTCTGGAATTCGATGCGCCCCTCAAACGGAAAAAAAAAAGGACACTCTTTTGGGAAGATCCTTGGGAAGGCAGAAAAGGATATTCTAGGCAATCCACAATTGCACAAATTATCACGCCAAATAACATGGAGTTTGCCCCTGCTGGCCTCCTCCTCATCTTTGTCCTCCCCCCTTTTGGTGGACATACAACGCTGCTAAATAGCAGCTAATTTCCTGTGATAAATTGGGCATATCACTGGGAGACAGGGTACTGGGGTGGTGGTGGTGGTGGTGGAGATCCTCATCATCATGACCCTCGTCAAGTTTCCCCCTCGATCTCGATCTCAAGCTCGAAGCTCTCAAGTGGTGTAAGCAAACACTGAGCGGGGCTAGAACAAGCTCGGTAGGCGAAACCATCATCATTGTCACATAAAAAAAAAATACAGTTCCTTCCTATAAGGATGAAGGATTGAGGATGAGGATGAAAAAAAAGGATCCTTGGCCAAGAGTAGCAAACCAGTGCCGCCGCCTACCTGTCTATGTTGCAACCCCCGATCTCAAGGAATTGATATACTGGTCGCACGCTGCTCAAGGAGGTCCAAGGAGGTAGGAGGTCGAAGGAGTTAGGCAGGAGGCAGAAACTATCATTGAGAGACCCAAGATACCCGCAGATCGAACCCTTCTCAGCCAGCCAAGGATAATGTTTTCGTTTCCACCTAAACAGATTATTTTCGATATTTATTTTGGCTTGTGATTCGATCAGAAAAGCCTTCATTGTCGGAGGAGGAGTGGAGATGCAGAGCCTAAACGGATTATAAATGCATCTATATATGGTTATGGTTATGGTTATGGGTCTTGGGTTCTTGAAGTTAGCACTAAGCTTAGGAGGGTTTTTAAAGAAGGTTTATCTATAAGGATATAGATACATAGTTTATCAAGGGCTTTGAAGAAATTTTTTTAAAAGTTAGATAGACAATCTTAACCACCAGACCACCATATTATACCCATTAAAATACCTACTATTATTCTACCTATATGATACACCATATTAAAGACTTCTAGGCCTTACCTATAAAAGTCTTTACTCCTTAAATAGTCTTCACTTCATTAGTTCACTTTTAAGTTAAACTTCTAACGAAGAGTAAACTTATGGTATGATTCTAACGATATCGTATGGTATGGTCTTAGATCGTATACCTTATAAGTGACGTTTCTCTAAAGTAGGATTTCTAAAAGTCAGGATATTCAGGGGTTATCATCCTATAGTCTTCTAGTTTTTACCTTTCAAAAGGATTCACTTCAGAGGGCTAAACCTCTTCAGGGTTCCAATTAAAATCCAAGTTAAAGCTTATAGACAATGATATTAGTTATACTACAGAGTCTATAGAGGACTAAGGACCACTTAGAATATATATAAAATAAGGGATGTATGAGTCTATATACCATAGAGACCATAGATACCATTCTCTAAGTTTTAGCTTTGAAAAGTCTTTACTTCAATAGGTTTTGAAGTGCAACTTCCTATACTGCACTGTTATAGTACAGTGGTCGGCACTCAATACATTGATATGATTTTAATGCATTAGTATTAGTAAGGAATAGCGTAAGGTAAGCTGTGAACATGACGTTTCACACATTTATAGAGTGTGTGTGTGGTAGAGAAATGGCCTATGCCCCTGGAATAGGGCCCCCACTGTTTAAGGGTTAGCTAAGGTTAGAGTCATATTCTTCTTAAAAGGTTTCTAGAATCATATATGATATGGTTCCAAGACCTAGATCCAAAACTTTACAAAGGATGCACTTCTTATAAAAAGGCTTTTAAAAAGCTCTCTAGATAGACTTTCATATTAAAAATAAAACCCCCTGTAGAAGCCTCTCTTCCAAGCCCCCTTTCTCTAAGCACACTCTTTTTTTTTAAAGATTCCAAGTCCTCGCAATCTTGCAACCCGCTGGGGCAACTGCTAAGCCGCTTGTTGCAACAACAGCTAAGCCGGTGGGCAAACGCAGGCAGCCAAAAGAAAAAAAAAGCCTAAAACCTGGAGCATTTTTGCTTCCTAAAATAGAAAAAATACAAAAAAAAAGTAAAAAAGAATCTCCAACTAATTTCCTGCTGGAATGCAAAGTAAACAAAGCAAAGCAGCAAAGATCTCACAGCCAAAAAAAAAGTTAAGAAGAAAAAAAAAATCTTTTTCTGTAGCATTTGGTTTAATCCTCTAAAGGAAACATGCCGCTTGCCACAGGAGGAGGCATCGTTTGCCAAGCTTTGCTTCAGACTGAGACTCTGAGGCTGGGGATTTTGCTTAGAGAGAAGGGTTGACCTGACCCAGAACTCTGGATTCGGATTCGGTAGTGCTCTCTATATTGTAGAACTGTGTATGTGTGTATATGTGTGTGTTCTTCTTCTTCTTGTGATCAGGTTTCTCACTAGAGTAGAGTTGGCGGTTGGAAATATGATTTTTTGGTAGAATTTTATTTTTTTTTTTTAGGGGCTTTCCTGCCAGCTTCTTTGTTGTTTTTTTTTTCTTCTCTTCTATCTGTTTTTGTTGTTTCTTCTTTTTTTAGTTTTTTTTTTTTTTAGATTTTATTTTTTTTTTTCTAGTCGCAAAACACGTTTCTCATATTTCCAAAGGGCTTCTCTTCCTTTTTTTTTTTCCTTCAAACATTTTTAATTATACGCCGCTACCCCCTTTTTTTGGCTTCTAATGTTTGTTCACTTGAGGAAAAAGGATCTTAGAGGTCCTTGGTGCTTGCTCCTTGCTGCTTTTCTGCCAATTTGTCCTTTCCACAGCTTCTTCTAATCGCCGCACAACCTTTCCCGCCATCTTTGTATCTATGTATCTGTGAGGTTGCTTTTACGTTTTTTTTGTTTTTTTTTTGGGGTGTTCTGAAAGCCGGCAACAAATTTGATTCCCATCGATTATCCATCTAGCGCAAGGATGTGAAAAAAAAGGGGTATGCTCGCCTTTTTTGATTGACAGTCAAATTAGTAGGGCTCCTTTGGAAAAAGGCTCCTGTTTGTCCTGCTTTTTTTTTTGAGAGAGGGGGGTGTGGAGGGTGATGGGGGAGATTAGATCCGATCCAATGCTATCCAATATCCAATCCGATCTAGTCCTTTTGCCAGCAGCTGCTTGAGCCTGACCTTGGTTTATCTCCCTCTCTCTCTCTAACTCTTTCTTTCTCTCTCTGTACCTCGTTCGCCCCCGCCTTTGTCTTAGCTTCACAATGACAGAAGAATTGACCGAAAAGACCGAAACTCGTTTTAGATTCTGCCCCAACAATTTTTTGGGTTTTTTTTCTGGAGATGCTAATGCACTTGCAAAAATAAGTGGGGGTGTAACCAAATAAATGCTTAGAATTCTCCAAAAATCGTTCTTTGTAAGCGGGAGAAGAAAAAAGCATGCTTTTATTCTGCAAGAAGTACTGTTCTTCAAAGATATTCATGTTTTTAAGACGTTTTTCCTTTAAAACTTATCCCAAGCTAGTAGAAATACTACTTTTGTGGCTTAAAAACTCTTAACTTACATTTATTTTTGAAGAAATCCCAAAAAGCATGCTTTTTTTGTGCAAAGGTACTATTTATATAAAATATATATTATTACTAAATTACTAAATTATTGCCAATCTGGTAGAAATACTATTTTTGTGGCTTTTATGTTTTAAGAGATCAAGAAAAAGCATGCTTTTATTGCTCAAATAGGACAATTCTACAATATCCAAAATTTAATGATGATATTTCATTAAAACTAATCCCAAGTTAGTAGAAAAACTATTTTGCGGTTCTAAAATTTCCAAATCAAATATAAATGGTAAAAAGCATGCGTTTGCTATCAAAAACTATTAAAAAGCATGCTTTTTATGTAATTTTTGGTAAAAAGCATGCTTTTAATGGTAAAAAGGATACTTTTGATAGTAAAAGCTATTAAAAAGCATGCTTTTGATGAAATGTTTGGTAAAAAGCATGCTTTTATGGCATTTTTTGGTAAAAAGCATGCTTTTTATTAAATTTTTGGTAAAAAGCACGCTTTTTATGAAATTTTTGGTAAAAAGCATGCTTTTAATGGTAAAAAGGATGCTTTTGGTAGTAAAAAGCATGCTTTTTATATAATTTTTGGTCAAAAGCATGCTTTTCTTGTTAAAAAAGCAAAAATTTCTGCTTTTCATCTAGATTTATGAATATTTGTTGATAACTCAGCTCATAAATTCGATTTTTAAACCAAAGCACTGTCTCAGGTCTTTGGATCACCTAATTTTCCAACGTGTACGTACTTGGGAATTATAGAAGCAAATGCTGAATGAATTCCCTTTGGGCAGTTCCAGGATAAAAGTGAGATTTGGCAGAGGCCTGGCGCGGAAGAGGGCCCGGGACACTTTACCTACATTTGCCAAAACAAAAAAGTATGTCCTGGCCCATATATTAAGGTTGGGGGCGGTGGCGGAGGCCGGTAGCGGAGGGGCGTGCCAGTCGAGAATTTGTGTTGCCCAGCGGAAGAGCAGAAGGACACCGACTTTAGCAAAATCATTGCAAAGCAAACAGGATGTGAGAAGGAGCAGCAGCATGCTTTCGACCAGGTAGACAGGTAGCCGTTCGTACCATATTGTTGTGGCTCGAAAGACAACAACAACAAGAAAAGAGAAAAGTCTTGGCCTGCCCTAATTTTGAAATAATAGTGTTGTAATATTTGCAAATTGC